AAAAATTTGAAAAGGTATAAAGTCAATTCTGTAGACGGATATGTTTATGTTAGGGAGGACCCTGAAGAAACTGAGGAGCATAAAGAAACCGAGAAAGAAGATGAAGATCCTGAAGTTGCCTATTTTTATGTTATTATTGACGATGAGTCTGTATATTTACATAAGCTCGAAATTACGAAAGATGACAATATCGATGGTTGGAATTGGAATTTATTTTTTTGTTTTTGGAAAGACAAGAAGGAGGAACGGATTAAAAAACAAATCAGGGAAGGAATAAAAAGATTTATAAATGGTAAAGATGTCAAGAAAACTGAAGAATTCATGAATCATTATCATTATTGTGAAGAAGTCAAACAAAAGGAAAATGAGGTTATTGTAGAGTTCCTGAAAACTGAAAAATCGAAAAAGATTATAAATGATGGAATGAAGAAGCCTGAAGAAATAATGATTTCTGACGAAGAAAAGTCTGTAAATTCTGATGAAGATATAATTGACAAATCAATAACTTGGAAAATCAAAGGTTACGTGCTAGTTAACGTGCTTCAAACAGGATTTCTTAACTATCTCGTTTACTCTCATCGTGCTTCTAAACTTAATAATATTAACCCTACCGGAGATAAGCTAGCTTAAAGTGTTAAAATCAATCTATTATTATTATTATTATTTTAAGTTTCTAGATAATAAGTTTTTTGTTTTATTAATATCATGCAAAGAAAAAAATTTAATAATAATAATAGTGGTCGCGTAAATTTTCTTTCTTTGTACATCACAAGATCATTTACCATATGTATATTTACACTCATTTAAAATAATAAGTTTCAGATAATTGATGATTTAAAATAATAACTAATTATATTATTTATTCAATCTTATGTTTACTTATTATAAATAAATGTTATATTATCTTTCGATAAACTATTATATATTTTTTAAACATAATACTAAAAATCAAATATGATAATAATAAACCATAAATTACTAAGTTATAATGCTTCAAAATTTTTTGCCAACCACCAGCGGATTTCTTGTCATAACGGATTTTGGCTGGAACCACAAATCTGATGTGGCGAGATTTGACTATTATTTGTATAGAATTTTATTGTGAATTTAATTATTGATCAGAGTAAATTGAAATCACTGACTTTTAATAAGAATTTGATTCACGTGTGTGAAATTCAAATTAGCCCAATTTCAGATGTATGAAAATTTATTTTTAATTCTTTTATTCACTGACATTACCTCGGGGATTACTGTATGTACTACTTACTAATAGTAGTCATGTGACATGTCACATCAATTGATTTTCTATAATTACCCCAAGACCAGAATGTTTATTAAGAGTTGACAAATAAAAAACTATTATATTCCAAATGGTGTTGTGTTGTGAACAATTATTTGTTTGAGTGAAGGAATAAGTCCAAAATTGTTAGAAATATTTATACATTAAATCTCATACTCCTCTTTCAATTAGAATTGCATATTCCCGAATGATCGGAATTACATTATAATAATAATGATGATAATAGTGGAGCAGTGTAACATTCCGCAAAGTGAGATGAATATATAAATTATTGGGGTATTCGATATAAGTTGATTAACAAATCTAATTAATGTCACAATGTAAATACATATATGGGACATGGACAGTAGAAAGGGACCAAACGTCAAAAATCATGATTTTGAGAAAATCGGAAAAAAAGATCTACAAGTAATTTACAATTGTTTTTAAAAACTTTAGCAGAAAGTATCTCAAAATTTTATTAAGTAATATGGGTATTGTTTCTAAGCTAAAATTAATCCTCGTAGCGAATTACATATAATAATGTCATTAACTCAAAATCATGATTTTTGACGTTTGGTCCCTTTCTATTGTCCATGCCCCATATGCGGATTTTTTTATGGTACCCCTTTTTTTCTCCAAAAAAGGAAACAGTGTAACAAAATATATTTTCAAATACGTTATTACGTTATTAGTATTATGAACTTTCAATCACTAAGGCTTTTAGAAAATCGTTACATTTATAAAATAATTAGAGGTTTTTAATTAGGATACATTTGTAGAACAGTGCTATGGAGAGAGAATTTTAATTTCTTCAGAAGTTGCAATAGATAGAAGTATCATGATAAAGAAGAAATTTTCTGTAATTTGAATGAGCTTTTTTATGCCATTAATATTTTCATAGCTCTAATCTATATTACATATACTATCTTGCACGCTAATTTGGTGTTCATATCTTTGAAAACAGACGAGGAGTAGTGGTTTGAAAACAGCATGTTTTATTAGAGTTTTATTAGTATTATGAACTTTCAATCACTAAGGCTTCTGGAAAATCGTTACATTTATAAAATAATTAGAGTTTTTTGATCAGGATACATTTGTAGAACAGTGCTATGGAGAGAGAATCTTTATTTCATACAATTTTTTCGGAAGTTGC